TTGAAAAATCTGTTGATACGATTGTTTGCAGGGCTAAACAACCAATGCGATTAGTTTTAGAACGCGAAGACGATATGAAGATTAGCGGTGGTAGACACCCGTATCTCGCCAGATACAAAGTTGGTTGTACTAAGAATGGAAAACTATTAGCATTAGATGTTCAACTTTATTCTAATGGTGGACATTCTCTTGACATGACGCCGTATGTAAGTACAACGCTCCTTCACTTGAAATTGAATACAAATTAATTACCAAGTTTTGGCCCGTTGCAAGTACTTTGTCCTTTAACCGCTGCCAAGTCCTCGTGTAAATACCAATACAGGAGCTTATGTGTGACATTACTTGAAAGAACAGTATTGCTATCGCTTAACTATATACTGATTGTGTTATAACGATCAGACAATGGGAATTGTCTTCTCTTCAACTAGGTAATGCAATATGTGTTATTGGACATTCCAAACTGCTATATTATTCCCAATGTACGACTGCAAGGATTTATGTGTAAGACGAATCTACCGTCAAATACAGCTATGAGAGGATTTGGATGTCCACAGGCTGTTTTTATTACGGAACACATCGTGACTGATATTGCAATTAAATGTAACATATCACAGCAAAGGGTATGCCAATAATATTATTTATTGATGAAACCTCACGCGTGTTGGTTTTTGTTTTGTAAATTGTTTTCTCTTTAGCTGGACTGTAAACCTTTTCTATTAATCACGCCGTTCTGTTTTAATTGTAAATAGGTTTCATATTGTTGTAAATTGTTTTACAAAATTATATTATCTCGAGATAATGTTTTTCTTCGTCATTGTTCTTTTTTAAATACTAATTGTTTATCTGTTTTTCAGTTTCGAAAAATTAATTTTATTGGAAAAGACTTTGTTACAAATTATGGTCAGATAGTTGAAAACTGTAACGCAAAAAGATGCTTTGACGAATGTGTCGAGAAAAGCAGATTTCATGTGAGACAGGATCAGATACAAACATTTAATAGGTGAATATGACTTTCTGATTATTTTATGTTTTCTATAAATATTTACTGCCAGCAAAACTAAGTCTGATAATGTATTTTTCATTTCAGGGAAAACAGATTTGTAAAGAAGGGAATATCTGTTACTCCAGTGATAATGGCAGTCGGGTTTCACTGTAAACTTTTGAATCAGGTATGCTGTCTTTTGCTGATATACTTAATTTACATAATGTTGTTTTTTAAATAATAATAATTATGTACTATTGTTTACAAACTGATGCGTGAAATTCGCGTTTTTGATTTTGTAAATACCTCAGAAACTGCGTTACAACAAGATCACTTATATTGCTTTTCCATTACCAATTACATTTTTTTAAAACATGGATTTCAATTTGCTATTGGCAATTTGTTTATAATATCAGAGTTAAACGAATAAAGGGGATAGGAATAAGATCTCTGTCTTTTTCAAAAGATCGGTAACATACACCAACACCTTGGCAGAAATGCTCTGAATAAAACGATTTCGCCACAGATCAGGTCAAAACCATAACTACTACTACTAGTATTAGAAATCGGATAGACTTAGCTATCACTTTGGTTCCGACAGTTACACATCTTGCATCCAAAAACAGTGAAACAATAA